AGTTTGCACTAAGAATAATTCACTTGGCAAAATTCTTAATTTATGGTAACCTATTTCCCGTTCCTATCATTATGCATGAGCAGGAAAAAAGGTATATTGCTTAGTCTTTCAAATAATTTTCTATATTTTATATTTCAAGCATAGATGTAGATTTTAGACAATTTTTTCCTTTATATTATTTCATTTTAATGCATGGTAAGAGTTGCATGGTTTAATTATATTTCCACAAATAATTATTTTAAAATTTTCTATTTATTAATTTGATCTGTGTATTTGTATTTTAAATATATTTATTAATATAAATTTTCCAGAATTTGATAATATTTATCTGAATTGCATTTCTTCAAAAGAATACTTTGTGACCCAGACTATGATGCATTTGAAAACTGTATATAATGAAAGAGAAAATACGTAAAGCACAGTTAATGTCTTTCATGGACAGTCTCAAACCGATATATAAATGAGAAAAATGTACAACTGACATTTTAATTTAGGATCAGTTACATATTTGCTTTATCCAGTTTTATCATTGTGTCATTGCTTTATACAATTTATTATCCTACTTTTAGCTTCTTAAAACATCATTCACATAAATATTTTTAAAATATTTAGTAAAATATCTTATTTTTAAAATCACAAAAATCAAATAGCACAAAGCTTTAAAAATATTTGATTTTACAGTTTAAAAAACCAATAACTAAATTTTATGCGAAAAACTGTTTTTTCTTCTTAATCCCTTGTCATTTTTCTTCCAGCATTCTGCAAATATATTAAAAAACGTCCATCTGCTTTTATTCGCTATATCACTATCTAATGTGAGTAAAACAGAGAAGTGACTTTTACTCTGATATTGAATAATACTGAACCTCTTTAGAGGCTAGACATTTTGAAGGCATGAGATAAAAGGAAACACTGGTTTCATCAATAGAGAAATAGCTGATATCCATTATGTCCTTGAATTTTCAGCTAATTTGACTAACACTTGAATTTTCAAATAATTCGACTGAGGTATCTTAGGAATTTCCACTTATGATATGATTTGATATTCTATGATGCAATTTAAATTTATGCAACCATTCAGTCAAAAACAGTCGTCTTTCACTTTCAACTGTGATGATATTTGAGTGTTTTCCATTAGCACATACCCATTTGCTGGTATATTTGATGCACTGCCCTATACAGAAAACTTTAGCAAACTATGGTGTAAATCTTCAGGTATTTTCTCCTTGAATATGCAACTTCTTTGATGTCGATTTTCCTGCAAATCGTTTTTTTCTTCTAGTTCTCTTCTTTGCTTCTAATTTTTTTTTTCCTACATTCTTCTTCTACATTTGTTTTTAGTATTGACAAAAGAATATTAAGATTTTTTTTATGGTTACATTTCCGTAATTTTATGTTTTAGTCAAATTCTTTTAACATTTCAGTTGTATCTTCAGGAAGATTGCTTTTCCTTTTCCAGACATTTTAACTGTAAATTAAGTTTAAAGCAAAAGCCAAAGGATAAATATTTAAGTTAAAATGTTTCTACCACATGATAAAGAAATAAAGCATCTCCTAAACCTTTCTGGTCAGCCGAAGGCAGCATTTAGTCTATCCTACCGAGTGACCCAATCTTTATATCGGATGCAAACAATCTAAACTATATTGTCTTGACAACTTTTAAAACCAGTAATTTCCATATTAAAGAGCACATATTTTTTTACATAATCTGTAATAGTGGTATAAGGAAAACTAGCCACTTAAAACATGCAAGAAGAGTAATGTAGAAATTTATATTTCACATATTTTTACTTAAAGCTGGTACATGATCCAAACCGTCAAAACTCTTTAAGCTTATTTTATCTTGTTAAAAATTTAAATTTGAGACTATATGGCATGAAGTATGTATACGATGCATAAGATTTTCCCTTTTATAGAAAAAAGTAAAGCTTCATCTAAATATAGTCAAGTTTCAATAAGCTACAAGTGAAGGAACTCTCTTTCCCAAAAAAAAAAAAAAAAAAAAAAAAAAAAAAAAAAAAAAAAAAATTACTGAAAATTTGACACTTTGAAATATTTCGATTATTGAAATGCATACTCCAAAGTTCCCTTTGACTTACATTCTACTTCCTAGTTCTGACAAATATTTCATCGAAAATTCCAACTTACCAAACCTCATTTAATCAAAGATTAAGTGTATATTCACTGTATGGCAATTAAGGAGTCATAGTATATTTAAAAAATAGTTTATAGCTCTTACACTGATGCAACTTCTTGTCTTGATGCAAATACAACAGATAATGAAAGAGAAGGTTTATAGAGATATGTTTTTGACATGCCTCTAAAAGAAGTTGCATTTTTTTATGTAAGAAAGAAAGAAAAAAAGCTGAAAGCTTTCAGATTTTATATTACATCCAAAGTGGAGTTTTTTTAACATTTTGTGTGTTAACTTTATTTATTAAATATGTATCATGTTCTTCACACTTAAAAATATCATAAAATTCAGTTCAACAGCAATATTGCAAAATAATTTTAAAATGAGCATATCTATAGAATTTCCGATACACAGTCTCACGCGCTGGAGATAAAATGTTTTCGTACAATGTTGCCATTCCTCGCTTTGAAATCATCGAGTTTCTTAATCAAAAATTCATAAATTCATAAAACACAAAATAGATAGTAATACAAATTGCAAATTCTAAATTTGGGCTTCCAGATGCCCATATTCGGGTCCTTATTCAAAATTTGATGGCTCTAGGTACCCTCTAATTTTTGGTAGCAACAATTTAAAAAGTGATTCGCTGTTTATAGTGAATCAAAGTAAAAAGCCAAAATGAAATTAATAGCACCTCTGGGCAAATTGCTCCTTTGGGGGGGGAATTCCTTTGAGAGGTTATTTTATTTTTTGAGAAAGGAAAACAATTGCAAGATAACAAGTCTGGAGAACATGTGGGATGACTCAGTATGCATACTTATTTTTTTAAACAGAAGCGGTTCTAAGAAATGGTTTTGACCCATGAAAAGACTTATTATCATGCAATACAACAACTGAATTTCTGACTGAATAATGTAAGATTAAAAATCAAACGATCAATTCTCAGCCATTTAAAAGTCAACTACTTGGCCAAAAACTACTTGCAAAAATTGCTTACAGGTAATCAGAGGTATAAGTTGCTAACTCATACCCAGTCTTTATAACAAATTTTAATCAGCCACATGACATTCATGATCTGGGAGTTCCAAGGAAATATATCCTCCTCTTTGTGAAAATTGCAACACCACGAAGGAATCATCAGAATTAAATAATATTTATTCCTCATGCAGCCAGCAGTAATGCAAAGAAATAATTAAATTTGCAGAGCAATTGAAGAACATTTAATGACAAAACTCAATATGAGGAGAAGCTGCCATATGCTGAAATAATGTCATATTCATTGTGACACTAAATGAAACAGCTTTTGATATATACTTGAGGAAGAGCATTTCTAATTGCTTCAGTCTTTCAAAGACGATTTATATTGGTTTCATTACAAGTGTCATGAGCAAGTTGCTAGCCCATTAATTCTTAGACAAGTTCAATAAGCGACACACCTGGTGAATTGGCAAGCCAACAAAGAAGCAGTGTCTAAAATGCTGAGAAGTTTTGAAAAGTTCTAGCAAAATGTAAATGACCACTGAAATGCTGAAACACATCTACAGAAATGTACTGAATGAAAGATATGACTTTAAGCTTTACATCCTGTTTGATGGTCATCCAGTTATTGGTGAAAGTAGCTTAAATTTTAGATGATGAGATTTCTTATCATATCCAATAATGTCTTGGACCATTATGTGTGGCCATCCTCCAGTATGAATCTGGGTAACGCACTCCCGAAGATGGAGTTGAATCTTATAGCATCTAACATGAACTCAGTCATCACTGTACTTCAAATTGAAATAAGATTTATTGGAAAAGACAATCTTTTGTAATGTCAGTGGTTATACTGATGAATCCTTTGTAGTTACATGCACCACTGGATTTGCATCAAGGGAATCATATGCAATGAAATGCACATACACAATCTAAGGTGCAGTAGAAGTCAGCAGCTGTTGAAACTTTAAAATGGCATACTTGCAGCAGTGCTTCAACACTGATTAACTGTCAAGATGAAGCAACACAGCCTATCGCTGACATTTGAATGAGGTGTCTGTCATCTCATGTTGTCATAACATTTCATAGTCCATTGCCTAGTTTGCAACTTGCCTGTTTTCTTAAGTCCACTGCTTCCATAGACAATGCTTTACATCCCATACAAACCACAATCTCATGATTAAAAAATCCTCCATCTCCCAGATTTATCACTCACCTCTTTTCAAACAGCATAACTAGCTTCATTAGACTTAAATATTGGAATTTTTATTTATTTATTTATTTATTTGTTTATTTTTTGATGAGTTATATTGCATCCTTATGAAACTTTCATCCCTAGAAGATAGTAGAACACTATTTTTAATGTTCCTCTACAGATCTCTATTTATATGGCTAATACAATGTTTCGAAAGGAAGTTCTTAGCTCACACATTACTTTATAATTCTAATGATATGCATACCATACCCTACTTAACATTTCCTGTAAGTTTCAGTTTATTCATATTATTCCTTCATGGCACTGCAGTTTTACAAACAGAAGTCCATATTTAAGAACCTAAATTCACCTTTTTTAGAAGGTCCTATATAACTAGAAGGCTAAAGTCTGGTCTAGGCTGATGAGCTACTGAGTTTACTACACAGTGGTTTTATTCTTTTATTTATGAATGATTTTGTAATTTATGATATTCATCTCAGAAAAATTCCAGCAATACACCTTTATTCTCCAACAAGTATTTCTTTCATCTATAAAAACAGTTATCCCCTCAAGCTGAAATAAAGATTCTTCATCTGGCCTTTAGTTGAGGATATACTGAAAACACAATAATAAGTAAAAATATATATATATTTAGGAAGAATATTTCAGGTTAAAGGGAAAAACTGAAATACATACCAGAACTGTTCTCAGAGAAAACTTCTGCTTGTTCTAATAGACAACTCTGTAATAAAATTTGTTTTAAATTTATATGCCTATTTTAACATGTGGAAAATAGGATTATATTTACAAGTATTTAAATAAAATAATACACAAAAACTCTGTTACATACGTAGTCAAAAATTAAAAGACTTGATTTAACATTAATGCTTACACAAAAGTTCTATACATTTCAAAGAAATATAACACAGGTTAGACGTTTTTCAACAAAAAACTATTTTGCACAATCTTGCTGAAATTCAGCTTTTTTAAAAAACAAAATTAAAATAGATAATGCAAAAGAAAATTTAATTCATATAACGGTTTTAGTTGATGTGCCACTTATTTCACAAAATAAAAAGGAAAAGAATTTGAAGGAAAATTGAAAGCTTACAGGAAAATGAAATCTAGTTTACAAATAAAAATCAAGATAACTTTACTGGAACATAATTTAAAAGAATAATAAAGAAGTGAGTAATGATTAGAAGTGAAAATTCTATTGATTTCTTCTTTGCTTATTATTCATGCTTTTAATACAAAATTTTAAAGCTCACTTATTTTGACCATATAAGTGAACACTGATTAATGCATTAAAATTTGATATTTAGTCTTTAACGTCTTTTGCTCCCGAGGTAGAGAAAATGAAGTTTTCTCACATGTCTGCGACCCTGAAATGTTGAACTTCTCTCGGTGCATGTACATGTTTAACAATTAAGCCTAACATATAAAATCTGCTTTTTAGTGAAATATTTGGATTCTTGCATATGTTAGTTAAATACCCTTTCTTATAATATAAACTAAAAATTCCAATATTTACAATTAAAATAAAAATTTAAAATAAGCTAAGGTGCAGTATTAATAATAGTGACTATTTCCCTACAATAATTAAATAAAAAAAATTAAGAATTTAAATATCAGTGCCTATTATATCCTCTTGCCATATGGCATATGCAAGCTGCTTGCGCTCCATGAAACATTTCTAAATTCTGATTGAACATTTTATTTTCGTAAAATAAAGTAATATATAAAATTCATAACAAGGTTAACACTCAAGAGATTCCATTCAATTAGGTCTTACAGCATTCTGACATTATTTACATGCATTTAAAATTTGAAATTAAACACTCATTTATTTAATTTAATTCATTTTGTCATTAAGTCTCAAAATGTACAACAGTACAAAGTCCAAAATCTGAACGTCCAATATCTGGAATGATCCAAAATCCGTACCTCAAAGCCACCTACAAAAATTTTTTATAGGAATTTTTTTTAATGTTTTACACATGCGCATTTGATTTTTTCCCTGTAAGAAAGCATGTGAAGAATCCAGATTCTTCATTTCACTTCATTCATTTGAATAAAATACCTCACATTATTGAAGAAATAATCATTTTAGCATAAATTTGTGTGATGAATAATTTGGATCCATAGCTGCATATCTGCTTTTCCAATTACTGGATTTTGTAAGGAAATGTGGAGAAGCGCTAAAAAGTGAAGATGATATAACAGAAGTTTTTCATTGTGATTGCAATATTTCAACCCTCAATAAATTAATAGAGAGTGAAATCTGTAGTATCATTCTAGATCAAGAAAATACCATTACCAATAGTGAAGAAAGTGACGAGAGGTTATTGAAAATGAAAAAATTTTGATTGAGAAGTTAGTCGGAATTCTTGATGCAGCAACTAGAGACTTGAGCAGTGAAACTTTATAATTGAACAAGAAATTATGTCTGTCTACAGAAATGAAGAGAAAGTATAAGCACAAAAAAAGAAGTAACTTAAACAATTTACATTCAAAGAAATGTTTAATAAAGTAAACAAATAAATATTAAGCTTTTTTTTTTAAATTTTAATACCCTTTAGATCATAGATGCTTCATTATTTCATAAATCATGATTCCATATTTTTAATTAAAAATTTTTTTGTATGTCATCTCACTAGATTTAAACTGATGATCTAATATCCGGAAAAATCCCAAATCTGGAATTGTCGAAGTCCTGATGAGTTTGGATCTTGGACTTTGTACCATATATACAACTTTAAAGTTGGATTTCTTCTATACTTTCTAATCCTCCTATTTTCATTCCATGTAGTTAACTCTGTCAGTACGGGTGTGTCATATGTGCATCAACAGCGAACATTACCTCATGACTAGGTGTGTCATATTTGAATCACCATTTAATTCACTCTATGGCCGGGCGTACCACATTTGACTTTTTACATAGAACATTTTAATTAGTATTTTTTGTTGCTGCTGGATGTAGATGTATGTCTGCTATGGGGAAATATATCAAAAGTTAAGTTATGTGTACCTTCATTCCTATGCAATGTTTTTTATTTTTTTGTATTTTGTTTCGGAATGAGAGGGAGATTCGTGAGTGGGTGTTGAGCAATGTAATGTCTCTTTAACTGCATCATTTGATATAAACAAATGCACGTGTTCTCGATGCTTTGAGGTACTTTTTATTTTTGTGATATAGGTATCTGAACGTAGAAGAATATACACAAATGCTGATTCGTTAGTGTTGAGTAACGTGATGGCTCTTACTGCGCCATTTCATATAAACAAATGGACATGTTCTCGATGCTCTGGAATACTTTTTAATTTATTAAATAATTTTATTTTTATTTTATTTTTTTAATCCCCATATAGTGGAGTAGATGTTCTATCATTAGACACTTTTTATTACTGTCAAATTTGCAGATATTCTATTCCTGTGACATCTGCAACGTTGGACTTTTGCATATACCCATGTTTCAAAGAATATCATACACTGTCTCTTTTTTAAAATATTGCTTCCTTTTCGTTGTTTGCGCATTGAATTTTTATGAAAGACAGTTTTAATATTTTAAAATTTTAATTTCGTGTTGTGTTAAATAAAATCTGCGATTGTTTGGATATTTTTCCATATATATTTAATTGTGGAATAAATGAAAAATTATATTATTCTAGAGTGAGTATTTTATAAAATTTTTAAGGAAAATTTAACAATAAAGGTTTAAAATTAGTTCTGACAACTACCTGAATGTCCTTCTCATAATGTACCAAAAATTGGAACAATTGGATGAGAAATTTAATTTATATGATTTTTTTTCCAAAGTTAGGCTTAGCGGTGCGAATTGCCCATCCCCAGAAGACGACGTATCCGGTTAACGCGCTGTCCCAAGAGAACGCTTCGGTAACAGAGCTGCCTGTCATGAACGGGTTAAAGTTTATTAATGTATTTTGTTAATTAAAGAAAGAAAATTTTTTTTAAATATATTTTCATGTAAATTAAAGAGAAAAGATTATTAAATGCTAATTTTAACGTATATCATAACTTAAGTAATAGTCTAAAATTGCACCAAAAACTGACTTAAAAAATTTTTTTTTGTGATTATTTTTTCTAAAGTTAGGTTTTGCAATGCAAAACACCTGCCCTATGGGTGATTCCTTTCTTCCATCCATCACGAGGGAACGTGTTAAACAAAGGTTCACCATCTCAGAAGGGTTGACTAGATGCTGGGCTAGTATAGTGATGAAGAATGTCTTCAATGTTTTTTTCTCCTTGGTATTTCCACACACAAATATAGTTACCATGATCAGAAACAGAATTTGTCAGAAAAGATGATGTCACACCCCCCTGATGTATTCATGTGCACCACTGTAAGTGATAACACCTTACAAGCAATACAGAGAAAGTTGAAGTAATGGTCACCTTGTGGACAATTCATGGCACTGCGGGCATTGTTGCATTGTAGGTACTGATAATCAGTGATCTGCAACATCCAATTTCTTGACCCAGGGTACATGATACTAACATCAATGCAGACAGGATGTCTATCCCCTCAGGCAAGGTAAAGGAGACTCACTAAGATTGCAGGTATCATTCTGTAGGCCTTTCTGGAGTCATCAACTGAAAATTCTCATAACATTCATTTTTGACCTGGATCCATACCGGAAACAATCGTGCAGCATAATAATCCTTAGTCTTGGTAGGCTACAATTTTACCATCAATTTCCTAGATATGCTGATATAAGTTCTTTCTTCTTACATGACCTCTAGCTAGCATGCATGCATGCATACACACACATACACACAAAAAGAGTAATGCTTAAATGAAAAAAGAGCATTTCAGTTTGTCTTCTTATACTGCTTCAAGAGGTCATCATTTTTATCTATAACTAGCAGCTTCGCTGCCAGCCTGCGTCTGGCTTTTAAATGTACCGGAAAAATGGCTGAAGGAAACACCAAATGTTAAATTTAAAAACTGCGTAGAATTTAACTCTGCAGAACAACTTCATAAAAAAAAAAAAAGTTATTACGTATAACAAAATTACAATGAAATAAGCAATATCCCTTAATACAAATATTAATTATCCTAATAAATAAATTAACCAACTTCCCTTTGCAAAATCTTAAGAACTCAAATGGTATAAATGTTGTTAAGAACTTTGTTTCCTTTAAAAATCACTCAAACCTTTTCAATATCTTAAAAACAGTGAAACGAGTAATAAATAATATAAAAGAATACAAAAAACAAAAATTTCTGAAAAGCAAAGTATAATTAATGATATTTTATCTTATATTTTCAAGAGAAAAAAAACTACTTTGAAATAAGCTATATCTCTTAATACAAATATCAATTATCCTAATAAAAAAATTAACCAACTTTCCGTTGAAGAAAAAAAATCATGCAAAACTTTTCAGTATCTTACAAACAGTGAAATAAGCAAAAAATAACATGAAAGCAACTCAAAAAACATAAAATGCTGCGCAGAATTTTACTCTGCAGAACAGCTGTATCCAAAAAAAAAAAAAAAAAAAAAAGTATTATATAGATAAAAAAATGACAATGAAATATGCCAATCTCTTAAAAACAGTGACATAAGAAATACGATGAAAAATTGTTGCCAAACCCATATTTCTAAAAAAATGAAACAATTCAAAATGATGCGATTTCATCAAAAATCTATCAACAATAAGACTGTTGCCAAAATCACATTTTTAAAGATGTGAGATGTGAGAAGTATACTCGGAAG